TCCCTACATCTTTTATGTGTATAAAAGCCCTCGAAGGACCCACTATATTATTATCAAACATTAAAATAGATATAAGAGATATTTATCATTCATTAAATATTATCAGGGTAAGATTACATTTCAGACCTTTCTCTTTAAATAAAAAACTTATAGAATATAAAAATATAATGAGATATTCAGAACAAAGTTCACAATCTTTATTTTCTATTGCATATATATTTTCAAAATCTCTCTCTATAATATTTTTATATTTTTTCTCTTTAAAAAGATATTTATTTAAACATCAATGGGTCTTCACTTCCACTAAAGGAGACCTTTTATAGATACTAGACACAAGTGGCATTAGCCTACCAAGCACCAAGTTATCAACTACCTTGTCTAGAGATAATGGACCAAATTGTTAAGACTAATTGATTAATCAATTATCTAACCCAAGAGCTCTATTCCTAAACTAGTTTAACTTCATCACTTAAATTAGTAGATGTCGAGGCAATGATAAATTGGAAGAACAATAAAATGAGGGTCTAGATAATGTGTATCTGTGTGGTTCTGTATGTCTTTGTGGCTTTATGCTAGAATGTGATCTGTGTGGTTGTTTGGCCTTCATCTCTCCTTCATTTTACTTCGCGACTGTATGTCTTTTAGACATATAATTAGCAAAGAAATAGGTGATGAACATTAATTATGGAGCTGATAATCTACTGGATAACCATGGTGGCATGCACCATTGGTGGAAACGATGGCATGGCGTAACCATTTGTGTAAAAATATGGTGTCGTGTCTTTACGTAAAAAATAAGTTTGTGTGATGGAAAAAAATATGCGTGTGTATCTATACAGAAATTGGGAGTAAAGGCGTATACTAAAGCAGTTCATTTGCACTAAGTTATGGATACCCTCCATTTCTACTTTTCAAAAGAGACTTTGTCAAAAAACCATCTCAACCTAAAAGTTAAGCTCAAAATATGATTTATATTATTCTCTAATACACTCCCTCAAGTGAAAGCCCTTTGAGCATGAAACTTGCACATGTGTCATATTACCTTGTACTTGATTTTTATTAAATTAATGGGGATGGTGAGATTCGAACTCGCGACCACTTGGTCATTAAGGCTCTAATATTATGTCAAAGAACTAATTCAA